GGGAATCAAAAATGGCTCTTCTATAGACCTTATGTAGCTCCACCCCTTTCACCGCTGTATTCATTGTCTTCTGTCGTGCAAATTTATGAATGGACCGCTCATTTTAAAATCTTCCCTGTCTGACATTTGTTATGACACCCGCTTTAAACATTAGAATGCACATGATAACTTTCGTTAACTCTACAATAGTTAAATCTACTTCACCAGCTAATAACTCTTTAACAGAGATGCTATAGAGCTACCGCAAAAAAAGGAAAATCAAAAACAAAATTCTAAAGATGCCTGTGCGCTTATTTCTCTGGTGCATAAGGTCTATAGCATCACTGAATTTTTTGTATCTATTTTTAGGAGTGCAAATTAAACAAAAAAATAATTTCCACTTGCTTTTCTTTAAAAAAAAAAAAAAAAACTCAAAAAATGGGCCCCATTCAGTTCCATTGTAAGTGTCTTATGGTACGGTCACATTAGCCACATTTTGAAGAAAAAAAAAATTCCAAGCTCTATTGTCAATAGTGTAGAAATGTATGAAACACTGCTCACACAGATGTCTCTTTCAAACCGGCTGTGGTATATTCTGAACTGAACCAGTTGTGAAAATCTGTGTGGGGAAAACTCTTGCACTGATGCAAACTTCCTGTTTGCATGGATTCCTATTGAAAAGGCTGGATTTCGCTCACAAAAATTCCCTGATCAATGATGTGACCGCACTTTTATGGCATCTTTACTTTTTTTGTTTTGTTTAATAAAACAAGGGATGAGTCACAATTTTTGTGGTAATCAACATTATGCCAAATATGCTGTTGAATTAGTTTTACTGAACCCAAAATATTCCTTTATTATGGTAATCAGCAAATGACAGGTGCATCATTAACACCTTCATACATAGAGCTGGGAGGGGTCCTTGTTTTAATTTTGATTGCATGGCATGAGTGTGAAAACATATAGAAGTTTAATTAGTTGGAGAATGGCAAGGGTGAGATGCTGATCATAAAGGACGAAACAGAAGGGCTGAGAGAAAACGATTCAGTAGACAAAAATGTATGTGCAGGGAAATATTCAGCAGGGGGAGAGAAAAAAACATAATTAGGTTGATTATGCCTTTCAGGCTGGCCTGGTTCGCCCCTCTCTTTCCTCTGTAGTATTCTGTTCTTGTAAGAGTAGTGTGCAGCAGATATAAAAACCGCTCATGAAAAGCTAATACAATTGCATTTGTATCATCCTGTTGAAAGGGTCGAGGATAATTAATCCCTTTTCGACATATAGATGTTGCAAATTCTCTTTCAGTACCCTGGCATACATTAGACGTATTCATTTTTAAGCAGATATTTTCTGTTTAACGCTTCGTGGCAGATGCTGAAAAAAGCTTTGTAGTGAAAGCTTATCTGAAATTGTGTTTGATCTTTTTTTTTCATATCAGAACTGGTGGTATATTCAAAAATTATTTTGTGGGGTCATTTAAAAATTTTGTTTAATCTCATAACTTTTCATGCTTCAGTGAGTGTGACCTTTTTCTGATCAGTATTCCCATTTCTCCTGAGATTAATTATTGCGTCTGTAAAGGTATATGGCTGTGGTGATGCCAATGCTGTACAACACCACCCACAGCTCCCGCAAGAGGGTTTCAGTCATGATTGCCACAGTTTGGGTCCTCGCCTTTGCAGTCTCCTGCCCCCTACTGTTTGGATTCAACACTACAGGTGAGCTTCTGTATAGTGTTTCTGGTGGGTTGTGACTCAAAAACAGGTCATAGGTGTTCTCATTTTACTATTGTCATTTTGCATTATTGAAACACTATTTTCCTAATTAATGCAGTACAGTTGCTTAGACACAATCTGTATTGTTAAAAGCGCTATATAAATAAAAGGTGACTTGACTTGACTAAATAAAATGCAAATACATGCAAATAACCAGGGTTGGAGCTCAAAAACAGGTCATAGGTGTTCTCATTTTACTATTGTCATTTTGCATTACTGAAACACTATTTTCCTAATTAATGCAGTACAGTTGCTTTGACACAATCTGTATTGTTAAAAGCGCTATATAAATAAAAGGTGACTTGACTTGACTAAATAAAATGCAAATACATGCAAATAACCAGGGTTGGACAAAGATACATCAAAATGTATTTTAAAATAAAATAGCAAATACCTTAATTTTAATTGTATGAAAATAAACTACAAAATACAGCAGCCACACCATATATCAAAATAAACTACTGTATTTTTGTATTTTAAAAATACTAAAAAAATACTTTTACAAGGGAGCATGAAATTTCTTCGCAAACCTTCCATCAATTGGCCTATTTGATCTATTGCTTCACCATTGCACTGACTCAGATGATTAAGTAAACAATGTTTGATAGTAACAGCTTTTCTCTGGCCGAGTCATGCAATAAATCTGACATATGCAACCAGTTAACAGATCAAATATTCACATATACCTGTGATCTCCCAGATGAAGGTTAGGTTAAAGGTAACCAACAGTTTAATGTTTAACAGTTTGCGAATTACTCATAATTGTATCCTAATTTAGTTACTTGGTGTTTGGTAACGAAGGGCCTACTTTGCATCAGCAACACTGACTCAATGACAAACAAGTCATTCATAAGAAGACAACTGATGGCACCTGTTTTCATAGCAACTAGTTGATCATTTGACTGTTTATCATAAATATAATAATAATATATTATGTGTCAGGCAGTCATTCATGCAGTGGTATGCAAAATCATGATCCTACAAAACAGCTACTTCAATTAGGGTACAATATTCAGCAATCGAATATTTATTTATCAATCACTGGACACCTGTTTGGAAGTTGAAAACAAACATTTTAGCATTTCAACAATTATTAAATGATCAAATGTTTCGATTTTAAATGTAGCCAGAAACGTAATCAGAAAGTAGCAGCAGAATTAGTCAAGGAGTATTAACCCAACTCCAACTGAATCTATTGAGAGCCATAGAAGCATAGAGGACACATTAATAGTGCCTTAATAACAAGTCTGGGCAAATTACTGAGTAGGCACCAATCAGAGGCCGCCGTTTTATGATGTCATCATGTAGGCTTCTTACAAAGTATTTTACAGTATTTTAAAATTACAAAAATACAAAACACTAAAGCATTTTGATGCAAAATATGAAGCCATTTATATCAACCCTATTATATGCTAAATAAAAAATCCTATTTTATATTTGAAATACATGCATCATAAATACTGCCCATTTCTGCAAATAACCATATGACCATGCATAGTTAGTATGCCCAATACAATCTGCTTCCTGAAGCAAAAGCAGTTGAGAACCACTCTCTTGTCCATTGGTGTGAAATCATCGCTTCCTACTGAAAGTGCTGCCATGAAATCTTGTAAAGGCCTAATGAATAACAAATGGGTTTGAAAATAAGAGTGACAAATTTAACCAAGAGATGTTTAAGAATCAGTGTAGGGAGAGTAACATATAAAAGCAGCAAGGCTTTAATAGCAGGACAGTGAATCTGGAATTCAGCTCAGACCGTGCATAGTTATTGTGAGTCAACTTTTTTGTAGCAAAATATTTAGTTCAATCCTGTTGTTACAACTGATTCGGGTTAATGCTGTTGAGATCCTCATTGTTTTGTGCCAAAAAAAAAAAAAGATTTAAAAATGAATTACATCACCTGTACAGTAGGTGTACCACTGTAGGTGGTATTGGGGCTGGGACATTCTCATTCTAGAGAGCATTTGATTGGACAAAAATCTGTGTTCTACAGTAAGTCATCATTATTTTTGTCAATTATCTTAGAAAAGAGAGACTATCCACCTTTTTCTTGTCGTAAAAATGAGCGCGGCCATTTATAAATTATATGGGTCTGGCTTCCGGTCTCATCTGCATCCACTCCGTCCAGCTATTTTTAGCTGAACAGAACAGTTCGTTTTGCTGCTTGATATTGAAAGTTGGTGTGTCTTATCATATTATTTTAATGTATTATCTTGATTATGAACACACTGGTTTGTAGTGCAAACAGTTTTACCGTTTACTGCACGTTGTTATTCTCCTCGTTATTTTCCTATAGCGGCTAATGAACCGGAAGTGTCACCCATAGGCTTACTTCCGCGTTGAAGAAAAAGGTGGATAAAATTCAAATGCATGAGGTACATGCGAACAGTTAATTGAGAAATCGGGTCCCCTCTCCCTTGTTGGAAGGGAGTCGTTTTAAGCTTTAAGGTCATTCGTTTTTAAGCTTTAATGTAGTTAGCAACTTTAGTAGTTTTTAGTATATCTATAACCATCTATCATAAGGGTAGCTTGACTGTGAGTCAACTACTTTACATGATGTATAGTTTCATAATCGACAAGTAGCTTCCTCAACCATGTATTTTCAAAATACAATAAAGCACTAGAATATTTATCTTGAGGGCTAATTTTATAGCTATAGCTTTCAGTGAGCTTCCATCAGATGTCAATAAATTAGGTTGCGAAGAAATTAACCATCCATTTAATTAGAGTAATCAGTTAATTAGTTTCACGGTGAGATATAATGAATGTCATCTCTCTCACACACACACACAAGCCTCCTAGATATGCATGCGATTTGTTCTGCTTTGGCTGCATGTACTGCAGATGGGAGCGAAGGACTTTGAGGGTCTAATTACGCTGCCGCAGAAACAATTTTATACATCGCATACTGCTGATAGGAGTATTGATTATACTTCCAACACAGCTGGCATCAAAACATACATCCACACTGACTTATTACTTCATATCTGTGATTTTCAATCTTAATTACTTTATGTCACACAATGGAATATTATACTAGCTTTATTACAGCAAACAAAAGATTCACAAGACTGGTGAAATGTATCTACTGCAAAGTATGATGAATATGCGTGTTTGTTTTTTGCAGATGACCCTGCAGTGTGCTCGATTTCAAATCCTGATTTTGTTATCTACTCCTCTGTGGTGTCGTTTTACTTGCCATTCGTGGTGACCCTTCTGGTCTATGTGCGCATCTACATCTTTCTCAGAAGGAGGCGGAAGAGAATCACCTTCCGTCAAGGCAGTGGTAAAGTTCAGCCAGCATCCGCACCACTATCTGCGGTAAGAGTAGATATTCTCACATTTCACATCCACACATAATCTCCTCAAACTGTTTTGGATTCTCTACTCTACTTACAACACACATAATCCACCAATAACAGTGCATAATCACTAGAAGTATCAGTTACCGGTGGTAAGTAATAAGTATAAATATATCGAAGCTCCAACTTGGATCATTAGCAGCCAATCTTGGATCGAAACTCTGTATTACATTTCACTTAAATTCAAAGAAGCCTGGAACTTGGTCTGTCTTTGTTAGGAAACATTACTTGGTTGTTTTATTCAGTGAGACAACTCTCCCGATCAGCAGATAGAGCCTTTGTATCATTGCCTTCTTGTGAAAGTAAGATGCACAGTCAGGTCTTTGGAAAAGTTCCAGCAAAGCCATTCGGCTATGCACCCTAGGAATTTTATTGTGAGATTTAGTTCCAGCTAACTGGAGCAAAATTTGATATGGAGAAAATGCTTTGTAGGCTGCCCTGAATAATTTCTTCCTGTTAAAAAGACTGTTTTCCCCATTCTATCTAATTTGAATAAAGAAAATGAAATCTAAGCACAGACTTGCATATATGAGCTGTAAATTGATTTGCATAACTGGGTGATTTTGTACTGTTCATATTTTAAATGAAACAATCAACAATAATTTACTTTAAAATGAAATGTATCATGACCTCATGTCATTCCAAACTCGTGTGACTTTTTCTTTTCTGTGAGACAAAAAGAAGAGATTTTTTTTTGTCATTACAAAGAAAGTCACTGGGGGTCCAATGTTATTTTAAAAAATGCTCTGGAATTTATAGACTTATCTTTGCACTTATAATTTAAGTGTACGGCAAAACAAAGAGACAGTACCAATGTTCAAATAGTTTGAGGGTTACTGTTGTCATTGTTAACTAAAACAAATAAAACTAATAAAAAATATTTGACAAAAAAATGTAAACAGAAATTTTGCCTTGGCAAATAACCAAAATAAATTTAATCAATAAAATTATTGAAACTAAAACTGAAGTTAAAAAAGGAAAGAAAATAGAATTAAATAGAATTAATTAACACAAAAGACAAAAGCACATAATAAAATAACTAAAATGTAAATGTAAAAATAAATAATAAAATAACGCTGTTCAGGGTTCACTGAGTTTCAACATGTCTTAGATGTGGATGGAGAACATTGTTAACTGGAGCCTTAGAGTCATAATAGATGATGAAGACACAGACTGGCCTGATTATCAGTAATTCTGTTCAATTAAGGTAATTTTGGTTCTTAATGATAATTCTATTTAAGTGAGGTAGAGGATCCATTCCAGCCATATAATGGGCTTCAGTGAAACAACACAGTCAGCATCAACTGAAAAACAGATTTTTTTTAATTCATTTTCCATAGCAGCCTATTTCAATTTCACTGCCTTGATCCTGGCATCTTTTCCTGTCTATTTCTCCTTTTTTCTGCTCCTTAAATTTGTTTTACATGCTTTTGCATTGGCTTTGTTTTCCACCCGCTGACTCTTTAACATTTCTCCACAGGAGACGTGTTTACAAGACGACGCTCACAAAGAGAAAAGAGACCTTTCCCCCATCAGGATCAATGTGATAAATGTGCGTATACCATTGTGCGCCTGCATGTGTGTATAGAAATGTGTGACTACTCTAATCTTGCATGAAATGAGGCTTCTCAGAGGAACAGAGCCTGTGAAGAAATCTTACAAGGTATTTTGAGATTGCTGGCAGCATTCTCTCTCCTGTTTTAGCATAGCGAGTGTGCTTCTGTTGCCATGCCTCCACAGACTTATCCTTGCGGCTGTAAACTGTAAACTGGAAATTTGCGGCTCTGACGTATGGCCCCCAACTTGCTCTGGCTGCTGATTTACTCCCTTCACTGGCACACTCTGTTTGTTGAAACTGTTTCCACAGGAGTCACATCAAAGTTATGGTATGGTGCCACAGCTGTTAGTTGAGGCCTTGGGATCAGAGCTGTGATATAAATAAGGGAGATACTGATTCATTGACAAAAAGAGGTGCAATGTGATTGATTAGATATTTGCATTAAAGATATATTTGCATTCTTGCAACAGGTGAGTTCAAAAGTTTAAGGTTAGTAAGGTTTTTTTAATGTTTTTAAAAGAAGTCTCTTATGCTCACCAAGACTGATTTATTTGATCAAAAATAAAAAGAGTAATATTGTAAAATATTATTACAATTTAAAATAACTGTTTTTTTTATAATAATGTATTAAAAAAATTTATTTATTCCTGTGACGCAAAGCTGAATTTTCAGCATAATTTCTCCAGGCTTTAGTGTCACATGATCCTTCAGAAATCATTCTAATATGCTGATTTGTTGCTCATGAAATATTTCTTATTATCAGTGTTGAAAACAGTTGTGTAACTTAAATCCCCTTAACTGTCACCGTCCCACCTGTGGGACGCTTGGCACTCTTTTTTGTTGTTGTCCTTTTTCTCTATCAAATGTTTTAGTAATCATCATACATTATATATTGTTTGAAAGCTAAGAAGCGCAAGATTCATCCTGTGAAAACCATTTTAAAATCGAACATTGCGATACCATGGAAATAGTACTTTAAAATGTTTTGGCGGTCTCCTCCCCCTTAGCGGGCAGTGTCAAGAGTCATATTACAAAATGCATTACGGCCTTTTACAATCAAAACTTTTTATAATCTTGACAAAAAAATATATCATTGGAAAGGTCTGAGTCTCAGGATTACACATTTTGTGATAGAAGCAATATTGACAGAGAAATGTCAACATATGTGACGTTAAAAAAAATGCATTTAAAATATTAAATGGCGTTTGGATGGCACCCGGTGGCTGTTTGGGGTATAACGCCCTAAATAAAATCTCACAGAAACCTCAATTTTTTTCATATCAACTTCAAATTTGGAACATAACTTATTTAGACATAAGGCTTAAATAATGCTATTTTATAGCAATTTTAGAGTAAAACCTGTTGTGTAAAATATTTATTATATATAAAAATAAAATAAAATTAGTACAGTGTATTTTCTTTACAATAAATTTAAACTTCTATAACTTTTTGATACTTTAATTTTTTTTTAAATTTCACATTTAATTCCATAATCTGCTGATTGTCTTCTTTAAAAAGAGACCAACCTTAGGGCTGTATTCCAAAGTGTTCATAAATTACAACAATTTAAGTTTGGATAGTGCACATTCATGCCTTTTTCAAAAAATGGGGGGTGACAGTTAAGGGGTTAAAACTTTAGCTGAAACATATTTGATTTTATTTAAAATAGATAACTTTTTTAAACATTATGAATGTCTTTACTGTTACTTCCGATCTATTTAATGTATCCAATTTAATGTATAATGTATCCAAATATATCGATAAAAAAATGACTAAAAGTGACTACATTTTGTAAAATGTTATACTTAAAACAAGACAAAAAATTTTTATCATTAGGGTAAGAAAAATCCATTAAACCAAATTTAAGATATATGTTCAAAAACAAGCTTTAAAAGGTTCAATTTTAAAGAGATCTTAATATTTTTAATGGAAAATAAAACCATTTTCTTTGCTGTTTATTTTGTTGAGTTGAAAAATACAAATGACCACAAAGAAAATTTGAGGTTAAAGATTTTTCAACCAATTTTCTGTTTTTCAACCACTTTTTAAAAATGTCCAAATATAGCTGTGTGTAGCACAACTGAGCTGAAAGCTACTGAGAAACATACTGTAATTGGGATTGAATACCCACTGGGATTGAAAATCAAAAAGCCTTTTAAATATCTTTTAAAAAGTCTAATTTTCACAATGTAGTGTATTTCACAATATTACTTTATATCCAATGGCAAGCTTATGTTATAGGGAATTATACTACATGAGTTTAATAAGATATGGCTGGAAAAACAGCAAATGTGTAGTCAGTAGCCAGAGGGTTGCTGGTCAAGAAGGCAATCCAACACTAGTCCAATGTGTAAGGCGGTGTGAAATCAGCTTCATAGTGCAACAAAAATACTCAGTAGTCCTCAGACGATATCATTCTATTCGAGGAAATTAGGACAGCATACCTCCTTGTGCTAATTAATTATAGAACAGACATACTTGCAGGAATAAAGATATTCTGCGCACCTTGAAGTTTGCATGCTTGCGTTTCATCTCCCTGTCTGTTCAGGAAACCAAGGAGCAGGTGATCCGTCCGCGGCTCCTCGCCAGATGCCCATGGCATAAGCGGCCTCAAACCGCCCCTGCCGAGAACTCGCTGCTGCCTCCTGTGATTACGCTGAACTACTGCAGCATCAGCCAGGCGTCCTTTGCTCGCACTGAGCAAGATGCAAACCGCGAGGAAGAGGAGGGTGGGGACGAGGAGCAGGAGACAGTTAGGAGCTGTGAGGTGAAGAAGTTGTCAAACGGACACGCACACACCACCCTGCATCCACCCCGGCCCGCTCGCGTCATGGTGTGTCCCAGTCAGATCCGCTGTAGAAGTATGCACTCCAAGGAAAAGAAAGCCACACAGATGTTGGCCATCGTTCTGGGTGAGACGCTTGCACTGCTTGTACATGCTCTATTATTAGATTCCTAGGTTTAAAAAAAAAAATGAAACCGTTATTTTTGTATTTATGTTGTGGTTATTTGTTGTTGTGGTTCTCATTTAAAGGCATAGTTCACAAAAAAAGAAAGAAAATTCTGCCATTGTTTACTCATCCTCAAGGTGTTAAAAACCTGTATGAATTTCTTTCTTCTACTGAACACGAAAGAAGAATTTGAAGAATGTGTGTAATCATTCCCAATATTTTTTCCATACTATGGAAGTCCATGGGGACCAGCAACTGTCTGGTAACACAAACAGTTTGAACAACTTGAGGGTGAGTAAATGATTACAGAATTTTCATTTTCGAGTGCTCTATCCCTTTAAAGTGAAGAGAGACTGTATACTTACAGCTCACTTATTACTGAGCTATTGAAATTCATCTTGCTGCTTTTTGTTATTTTTCACAATTTTCTACAAATCATTCAGCTCAAACTGGTTGACAGAGTTTTGAAACTTTGTTTTATCAGTGATTTCAGCTTATTGTGGTTCTTTGTAAGCTTTTATAAGACTAAATCTAAGATTAAAGTTTGCTGAAGCTCAGTCTGCATCTGACGTGTGCTACAGCTTGTCAGATTGCCAGCACGAAGCCACCTGGGAAATAGTGAAAATTCTGAATGCCAATAACTTCATAAATCACCTACAGAGTACAGTCAGATTCCAACCAACATAGCAGTTTTATACAACATCAAGTATATAATAACCAATTTGGCTCTATTAATGTCGACTGATGACCCATGAGTCGGTTTTCTGTAAAGTGTTAAATGACATTGATGGTAATCTGAGATGTCTGCCTAATTGAGGAGGAAATTAAATCACACTCATGGAGACAGATGTCTTAGATCGAGGAAATGGCTCAGCTGCCTCAGTTCAAAGTAAATTGGTCAGGGTTGTCACATGACCATTTTGCTTGTGGTCAAGGTTTTTCAGCACTAAAAACACCTGTTTTTTTATTATTTCAAACTCAACAAAGCAGTTTGTCATTTGCAGAAAACACTTTAGAAGTAGAAGTTCAAGGAGTAGTTCATCCAAAAAGCCTCATGGCTTTATTTCTTCTGTGCATCACAAAAAGTGCAAGTTTGAAGAAATGTACTCTTAGCTCTTTTAAAAATGGATGTTGCCACCATGACCAGCTTGAGTCAGAGAGCTGGACTGGAGAACTGAATCAATCTGATTCTAAATGAATCATTCAGTCTGCTTTTGTGGACTGGATCAAATGATTCATTGAAAAGATCCGACTCAAAAGAATAATACATTAACAAATGAATCAGTGTTGGTTTAGTATTTTTATTTACTACACTCTTAAAAATAAAGGTGCTTCACGATGCCATAGAAGAACCTTTTTGTCTAAATGGTTCCATAAAGAACCTTTAACATCTGAAGAACCGTTCTGTTTCACCAAAGGTTCTTTAAGGCGAAAGAAGGTTCTTCAGATTACAAAAAGGTAAGAAAGAGATGGTTCTTTAAAGAACCTTTGACTGAATGGTTCTTTGTGGAACTAAAAATGGTTCTTCTATGGCATCGCTTGAAGAACCTTTTGAAGCACCTTTATTTTTAAGAGTGTATGGTTGTTTATTGACAGTTTCAGCATCATTACTGGTACCTAAGTACGTTTGTCATTAAGGAACCCTGAAATATTTTGCTGTTACAATGAAATGTCAATACCAATTTACTCCAAATTAAAATACAATTAATACAATTTTTAAAAAAAATAATAAAATATATCATAAGAATACACAAAGTACTTTTTAAAATCCATAATCATTTAAAAGTCGACACATATAGGGAATAAGTGATGTTCCATGTCTGGCGTCCTGTCAGCTCCTACCTGAGTGGTGGTAGCCAGTCTCTCAAACTAGACTTGTATAGCTTCCTAGCAAAATCACGTTACAGTTGGACTCGTCTCTCTGCTAGTGTGCACAAACTGTGCCAAACAGGAACTGCATACTCTAACACAAGGGGCACACATACCCTGTATAGATGATAACCAATTCTTGATCTCGAACACCAAATTTCTTTACAGCATGTGATCCACTTGACCATCCTATTTCAAATCACTCTGGATGGTAACTCCTAAAACTTTAACAGAGTCACAGATTTACAAAGTGTCCTGTTATATAGAAAGTGATGGCCAATCTGGTATCTGTTTCAGGCGGGTGACATGTAAAACCTTGCATTTCTTTGAGTTGAGTTTCATTTTATGTTTCTCTGCCCAGATGCCAAGATCATTCAACATCTGTTGGAGATACAGAGCAGATGAGGGGTCTACCTCTGGGCCAGTTATGTCGTCCACATATTTTCAGTGATCTAGCTGATTCTGAAGGGCACTGTTAATCAGTGCTCTAGAAGATTATGGGCCTCAGTATGGTTCCCCGAGCAACTCCACGTGAGGGATATTCCCAATCAGATAGATATCCCTGATAACACACTCTTTGACGATGATTAGACATAAAATTACAAATCTATGAAATATTTAATATGTGGAATTTGTTTTATTTTCATTTTAGTTTAATATTTAGTCATTTTGTTTTGTGTTTTGGTCATTTTCATTATTTTTCCTTGAATAAATCTACTAATTTCTATTTTCTATTTCTATTGTAGTACTTCAGCTTCAAATTGTTCATGTCAGTTAGTTGCCAAGGCAACATTTCAAATTTTTCTTTAAGTGTTTTTAAGTTTAGGGTTTTAATCTACTATTGTACTTTATTTCATTTCACTTTTATGTCAAATTACCGAAAACAATTTTTAATAGTTTTGGTTAACGATAACAACACAAATGAATTGCTACCTCTTTAACTCTTAATAAATTTAAATGTGATCTGTTTTTCACACAAAGCTATGCTTTGGCATCAAAAGACTTAGGAATAAAGTCATATGGACCACTTTTATAGTTTTATTATGTCCTTTTTGACACTTTATAGCTCCAGTTCCCATTTATTGAAATTTGCACATAAAAGAGTGACCAGCACATTGCGCAGTTTCTCCTTCTGCGTTATTATGAATAATTTCATGTACCTGTTTATTCATTATTTGTGGTTTTTGCCTTGCAGGGGTTTTTCTTATTTGCTGGCTGCCCTTCTTTGTGACCCACATCCTAAACACTCACTGCAGAGCTTGTCACATTCCTCCTGAGGTCTACAGCGCCTTCACTTGGCTCGGCTACGTCAACAGCGCTCTCAATCCAGTCATCTACACCACGTTCAACATTGAGTTCCGCAGAGCCTTTATTAAAATCCTGAGCTGCTAAACCATTGGCAATGCTCCCATATAATGCTCAATGCAGCTTCCAGACATTATGGATTCCTTTTTGGGATGTGAAGTGCCATATGCAGAGGATATTAAAGGCCTTGAACAGTCTGAATTTGTTCAAGGTGATTTCAAATTCACTACAGAGTGATTGGTGGATTAGCATTCATCTAAATTAACTCTATTGTTCACTTTGAGATGATGGACCAATCTGGAGTTCCAGTTGGTGCTTCACAGCCAACAACAAAGCCTAGAATATCTTCTGGACCTTATTCTCCATCTCACCACCTTGTCGCATGCGGAGCGAATTCTGAGGTCATCATGTGTTTGCATGTGTCACAACGTTGAATGAAACGTTTTTGAATGAGTTTTGCTTGAAACTCTTCAGTTGTAAAAAAACAAAGAAAACTATTTATGTGGCTACAAAGGCTAGTGATTTGTCAAAGGGACCATAAAGCAGGTGGACCAAAGGAGCGTGAAGTAGTAAAAGATCCAAGACTGTGTTGTGCCTTTAATGGTTTCTCCTTCGTAAGGCCAGGTTTCTTCAACCAACTGCATATCAGGATAGAAAAGAGAAGAGATGGTGATGATTGTTATGGATGAAACATGATATTGTGCTGTGAATTAAAGCTACATTGAATCCCATAAGCCCTGATGTCATCTGAAATATATACACAGAAGCATTATGCCTCATTAGTTTTTTGATACAAATAATATATATACACATACACTAACATTCAAAACTTTGGGGCCTGTAAGAGTTATATATTTTTGAAAGAATTCTCATATGCTCACCAAGACTGCGTTTATTTGATCAAACATAGAGTAAAAACAGTAATATTGCGAAATACTGTTATAATTTTTATTTTTTCAATTTTAATTTAAAATGTAAAATTTAATTTAATGTAAAAAAATTATTTTATTTCTGTGATGATAAAGCTGAATTTTCTACAGCCATTACTCAGTCTTCAGTATCATATGATTTTTAAGAAATCATCCTAATACGTTGATTTGGATTTTGATGCTTAACATTTTTGTGGAAGCCGTGACGCATTTTTCCAAGAATCTTTGATGAATAGAAAGTTCAAAATAGAAAATAGAAATCTTTTTGTAACATTATTGTGACGTCCCAGTTTAGGCTGTGCGTGCGCTTGTGGGGTGTGTGTTTTAGGTGCCGCTTGGAGGAGGTGTGGCTCGCGCACCTGACACTTGTTGGACGCAGAGTTTAAGAGTGCCTGGCGTGTTGGTGCAGAGCGTGTGATATTGGGAGCTCGTCTCCTGCGTGGAGCTCGACGGTACGTGTTGTGCTGCGTGTCCCGGCCGACCCTGGCTTGTTCCTTCGTTTATGCTACATTTATGTTATATTTTGTTGGGTTA